TGCTGCTTGGCCTGCTGTGTTCATCCAGCCCTGCACCTTGTTGTCTCGGATTCTCCAGCATCTGCAGTTCCTACTATCTCTGACCAAATTAAACTAAACACTTCTGCCTGTCCTTGGTCCATATCCCTCCATTCCTTGCATATTCATGTACTTATCTAAAAGTCTCTAAAATGCCCCTATCGTATCTGCCTCCACCACCACCCCTAGCAGCGCGTTCCACACTCCTACCACTCTCTGGGTGAAAAAACACTTGCCCCTCATATCTGCATGTGTCACATAAAATTTGGGACTCAGAAGAGCATGTGAAAAGGCATAACATTCAAGGCTATGGTACAAGTGATGGCAAGTGAGATTAGTGCAGATTTAATGTATTTCAGGCAGTACAGACTCAACGGAGCAATGGGCCTTTTCTGTACTGAATGATTCTATGATTCTATTCTATATATAACTGAGCACGAGAGATCAAAGCAAAATAAAGTTCCCTTTTGTTGTGTGCCTTCAGAGCCACCCCTGAGACTTTGGATTCAAGAGCTACCTTCAAGGTTAGGTTTCTGTTGAACTCCATGAGACAATGAGAGGATAGGATATAGGAGCAGAAGTAGGCCATTCGGCCCATCAAGTCTGTTCCACCATTCAATCATGGCCCTGTGAAGAAAAAATCAGAGTGTCCGGACCCAAAACATTAACTCTGATTTTTATTCTTCATAGATGCTGCCAGACCTGCTGAGTTTCCAGCAACTTCTGTTTTTGTTCCTGAGTTACAGTGTCCATAGTTCTCTCGATTTTTATTCAATCATGGCTGACATGTTTCTCAACCGCATTCTCCTGCCTTCTCCTAGTAACCCTTGATCACCTGACTAGTCAAGAACCTATCTATCTCTGCATTAAATACAGTCAATGACTTGGCCACCACTGCCTTCTCTATTTATTGCATCTTAACAATGTATACACTCTCCACAAGCATCCACTTCCTCCACCACCAATGCTCAGTCACAGCAGTGTGTACTATAAGATGCACCGCAGAAATTCACCAAAGCCTCCTTTGATAGCACCTTCTAAACCCACAACTATTTCCATCCCAAAGGACAAGGGCAGGAGATACATGGGAACACCACCCTCTGCAAGTTCCCCTTCAAGCCATCACCGTCCTGACATGGGAATATATCACCATTCCTCCAATATAGCTGGGTCAAAATCCTGGAAATCCCTCCTTAATGGTACTGTGCATCTACTTGCAGCAAATGGACTGCAGCGGTTCAAGAAGGCAGCTCACCCCCACCTTCTCAAGGTCAATTAGGGATGGGCAATAAATGCTGACCAGCCAGCGATGCTCATATCCCATGAATGAATAATGAAACATACTAATCTGTTTTACCAATGTTAGTCTAATGACCTTCCACTCTGATCTATCTAACTCTGCCCACACTGTGCTATTTATGTTATGTGGGAAGTAGTTCTGCAACATCACCATAAGGTTGTTCCAGGGTCCTAAAGTCCTTCCATAATATGCTGAAAAGATGCATGAGAATTTAAGACACATGCAAAACAGCAGACTCTGCAGTGAAACAAATATGAGGTAAATACAGAAAGTTCTGAGGAAACTCAGCAGGTCTGGCAGCCTCTGTGCAGAGAGAAACAGAGTTATTGTTTTAAGTCTGATAATGACACTTCTTTGGAACCAAAGACAGAAGTGGAAAAGCCATGGATTTTGATGATGCTGTCGTGGGAGAACAGGGAAAGTGCAAATCAGGGAAAGGTTAAGATGGGAGATTAAAGTTGTCATCCAGAGAACAAAAGACTAAGGGAGTGGTAATGGTTGCAGAAGGTGATAAGCGTGGGTCCAGAGCAAATGTAAACTCGCCACAGTCCCAGAGGACCATAGTGCCACTCAATCATTAAAGAGAGACAATTGGTAGTGAGTTTAACCTGAGGGTCACCATGCCTCAGGTGAGGGGGCAGGTTGAGAAGGAGAGTCCTTTATGGTAACCTCAACCGGTCAACATAACTCTGCGTTGCAAACCAGCCGTCCAGTTAACTGAGCTAATGACAGAATAAAGATGAACGCTGACTGCAAGTGAAACCAGGAAAACACAGATACAGAAGCTTTTGCAGAGAGTGGGGTGTAAGTGTCAAAACCAAGGGCGGGGTTTGTGGTCTGAAATTGTTGAACTCAAATGTTAAGTCCAGGAGGCTATAAAATTAAAGAGTGTTCCCAACTATAACTAAACTAATTACCTACATTCACAATTAAATATGAAGCTGGTTTCACCTGGAAAGTCATAACATTTGCTAAGTCACAAACCAGGTGTGCTGCAATAAAGGAAGTTGGTATTAGTTAAAATCAGTGCAGGAGTAGAAGAAAGAGTCTCTTCTGAAGAAGATGCCCAAAACCAAATGCAGCAAGAGGACAGGGACTTGTTAAGTAGCCAGTCTACATCATCAGTGATCAAGCTCATTCAACGACAGAGTCTAATGTGAGATGTAAAAGCAGAATACTATGAATGTTGTAAATAAAAACAGAAAGTGCTAGAGAATCTCAGCAGGTCTGGCAGAATCTGTGGAAGGAGAAAAAGAGTTAACATCTCAAGTTGAAAATGACTCCTTTTTGGAGGCATTTTAAGGTTTTTGTTCCGAGAAAGAGTCATTCTGGACTCGAAAAGTTAACTCTGTGTGTGTCTCTCTCTTTCCCTCTCTACAGATGCTGCCAGACCAAGTGAGTTTCTCCAGCATTTTCTGAATTTATTGAAAGATGGTTCCACGTGAAGCTTCATGCTGAGCTTCGTCCTGTACATAATTAAAGGTATGTGCAGGTAACGTTTCCCAGAAGCCCTGCTTCCTGTCGTCTCTGTTGATCCTATCCAAGGACACAACAATGATAACAGACATCCAGTCCAGAGAAGGTTCATTAGACTGGTACTGGAAGAATGGAGAGACATCTTATGAGGAGAGGTTGAGTAGGTTGGGCTTGTACTCATTGGAGTTTAGAAGAACAAGAGGAGATCTCATTGAAACATAAAAGATTCATTGGAGTCTTCACAGGATAGATGTGGAGCGGTTGTTTCCCCTTCTGGGAGAGTTTGGAACCAGAGGGCATACGCTGTGAGTAAGAAGCCATTTAAAGCAAAGATGAGGAGGAATTTCTTCTCTCAGAGGGTAGTGAATCCACGGAACACAGAGGGCTGTGGAGCCTGGGTCATTAAGTATATTTAAGGATGAGAGACACAAAGTTTTAATCAGTAAGAGACTCAAGAGTTATAGGAAAAAGGCAGGTAAGTGGAGTTGAGAATGATCAGATCAGCCAAGATCTCATTGAATGGTCAAATGAACTCGATGGGTCAAAAGGATGACATCTGCTCCTACGACTTATGGATTTTGCCCTGTGGATCAACGGGTCCTGTTGGGGGGGTCAAACAAGAGTCACTGTCCACACTGTAAGGGAAACATTCACCCAGTCATGGTTAACCCTGAATTGGTCTCACAGCAGCCAATGTCTGGACTCACTGTCTAAGTGGGCTCTCGGCACGGCCGGGACAACAGGAGGCCCCTCTGTACTGAAGAAGGAACAGCCTGTAGTCCAGGTGAAACAGAGCAGGCACAGTCCAGACAGCTGCAGCACCACCCCCCACCCTCCATCCAACCTTTGAAATGTTGACCTTCTTTTGGCCACCAGGCCACCTCTGCAGAGGAAAATGCCACTTCAGGGGGCCATCTGTGGCCACAGTTGAGGTCAAAGAGGCATCAGGCGAGCTCCACTTGGATCTACACTAGGCCTTAGATAATAGGCCTTTAAGCATCTTTAAGTGGCATTAGTGGACAGGTAGCTCTGCAGTCTGGACTCCAGTCCCATCTCTGTCAAAATGGCCTGGGAGCGGGATCGAACTTGCATTCGAAGCCGTCACATAAGTCAGTGGTGCAACTTTTGCCAGTCAACACTCTCCACTCCAATCCAGCCTCATCCTGAACTTTATCCAGAAATTCTGCCTGTTACTTTTGCTCACCCAGTCTCCTCTAACACTTATCCCACCCATGTCAGCTGTCTATGAGACGGGCCTATTGCCTGGCCTAATCCACTGCCTCCTGCTGTTCCCTTGCAGGCGTCGACAGTAAAAATGCTCTAAGTGATCTGCCCATATCGTCATCAAAGGATCTTTCCTGCAGGCGAGTATTTGATGGTTATCGTTCACTCTTGTGACAATCCTTATGGTACCTTTCTGTGTTTGAGCCTCCGAGGAAGATGTGAGAACAACCTGGATCACTGCTACCAGCGTGAGCCACATTCTCATCGCCATCATCTGGGGGAAGAGAACAAAAATAAAATACATTACTGACAGCTTCACACCCTCATACTCCACTCCCATTGCATTGCCTGTGCTTCCTCACAGTAAGAACATTAGGAACACTGAAGCAGAGGGGGACCATTCAACCCCTTGAGTCTATTCCATCATTCAATAAAATCAAGGTTTATACAATACTTTGTATTCAATGTCAGTTATTACTCCTCTATATTGAGCACCATTTTTTAAAAATTCTCTCACAGAACGAGGGCATTTCTAGCTAGCAACACTTACTGCCCATTCCTAATGGCCTGGAGGGCAGTTAAGAGTCAACCATATTGCTGTGGGTCTGGAGTTACATGTAAGCCAGGCCAGGTAAGGATGAGCGTTTCCTTCCCTAAAGGGCACGAGTGAACCCGATGGGTATTCCCCCCAACAATCATCTTCATGGTCATCATTGGACCCTTAATTCCAGACTTTTTTTAAAAATGAATTCAAATTCTACTATCTGCCATGGCAAGATTTGAACCAAGGGTCCCAGATCATGGGCTGGGTTTACAGGATTAATAGTCTAGCACTAATACCACGAGGCCATTGCTGCCCCATCAAAGGGAGCAGTGAGCTTGCTAGAGCACAGAATATGTTCTGGGTGGTGGACACCATTAAAAATAAAAGCAAAGTGTTGGGGATGCTGAAAATCTAATGAAATAAAAATGCTTCAGAAATTCAGCAGGTCTGGCAACATTTGTGGACAGAGAAACAGCTATCAGCCATGATCAAATGGTGGAGGGCTTGATGGGCTGAATGGCCTAATTCTGCTCCTATCTCTCATAGTCTTATAACATTTCAAGTCCAATATGACTCTTCTTTAGAATCAGTCTGAAGAAGTCACATTGGACTCAAAATGTTAACTTTGATGTTCTTTCCACAGATGCTGCCAGACCTGCTGAGTTTCTCCAGCACTTTCTGCCTTTGTTATTCATGGACCTCAATATCCAACACAAAAAGTTATGGCACTACTGTACTAGTCGTTTCTTTTTCATTTAGTTTCTTTGAACATTCTCACGTGTTAGTCACAAAAGTTGGACAGAGAAAAGCTGCTGACAATGGGAGGGTGGACAGTTCCTGCCCCGAAGGATCATGATGGAGTCATCAATAATTCTATCAAGCGGCACTCCATCAGTAATGTCCTGCTCACTGACTCTCCATCATAAGGTTAGAACTGAGGACGGTCACTGATGATTGCACAATGTTCCATGTTCAACTAGTCAGCTACTGAAGCAGTCCATGTCAATGTCCAGCAAGATCTGGACAATATTCAGGATTGAGCAGATAAGTGGCAAACAATGCTCATGCCACTCAAGTACCAGGCAATAACAATGTCCAACATGAGAGAATTGAACAGTCTCCCCTTGATATTCAATGGTATTATCATTGCCGAATCTCCCAAAATCAACATCTTAGGTTTACCATTGACTGGAAACTGAACTCAGCAAGTCATATAAATGATGTGGTTAGAAGGAAGCCAAGAATTCTGCCTCCCCAGAGTCTGTCCACTGTCTACAAGTGACAAACCAGGAACATAATGGAATACCCTTCGCTTTAACGGAACAGGCCAGCTCCAACACTCAAGAGTATTGACACCATCCAAGATGAAGCAGCTCACTTGATTGGCATAACATCTACCATCTTCAATTTCACTCTCTTCACAACCGACACTTAGTGTGCACCATCCACAACACACACTGCAGCAATTTGGCAATGTTCCTTTGATACCACCTTCCAAATTCACAGCCACTTCCATCTAGAAGATCAAGGGCAGCAGATACATGGGAACACCACCACCTGCAAGTTCCCCTTTGAGCCACTCACCATCTTGACTTGGAAATATGTTGCCATTCTTTCAGTGTCACTGGGTATCCCTGCACTCCCTCCTTTAGGACATTGTGGGTCTATCCACAGCACATGGACTGCAGTGGTTCCAGAAGGCAGCTCATCACCGCCTCTTCAGAGCTCATGGGAAATGGTAGTGCAGTGGTTAAATCATTCACTGAGTTATCCCAAGGCCTGTGTAAATGCTCTGGGAACAATTCACATCCGATCAGGTGATGGGTTTTAACATTTAATTTATAAAATCTGGAATTGAAAGCATATCTCAATAAAGGTAACACTGACAACCATGGACAGCATGGTGGCTCAGTGGTTAGCACTGCTGCCTCACAGTGCTAAGGACCTGGGTTTGATTCTGCCCTTGAGTGACTGTGTGGAATTTATACATTATCCCTGTGTCTGTGTGGGATTCCTCTAGGTGCTCTGGTTTCCTCCCACAGTCCAAAGATGTGCAGGGTAGGTGGACTGGCCATGCTAAATTGTTCATAGTGCCCAGGGATGTTTAGGTTAGATGGTTAGACATGGGGAATGGGTCTGGGTGGGATGTTCTTCAATGGGGCAGTGTCAACTTGTTGGGCTGAATGGCCTGTTTCCACACTGTAGGGATTCTATGATTGCTGTCAAAACCCATCTGGTTCACTAAATCCTTTAGAGAAGGAAATCTGCCTTCCTTATCTGGTCTGGCCGACATGTGACTCCAAACCCACAGCAATGCCCTCTGAAAAAGTCAAGGGAACCACTCAGTACAGGGGCAACTACGGATGGGAGGCAAGTGCTGGCCTCATGTGCATGCTACGAGAAAATGTTTAAGTGTGAGTAACATTTTTCACAGAAGTCGGGAGAAGACAAATGATATTGCCAAGGTTCACATAGAGTTGCAGTCTACATCCAATCGTGGCTGGAGATGGGAATTCTTGAGGCCAATTGGCAAGGATAAAACTTCAGACGGACACAAGAGTTTTCACCGGCTGAACTCTATCCTCTGACCACCCCTCCTGTCAGCAGCTTTCTCTCTCCAACATTTTTCATAACAAACAAATGAGAGTGTTCCCAGATACTGAATGGCAAAAAAATGTGGATTCTTTCTTTTTAATGCTCTTTCTTTCCTCTCCTGGCTTGCTAGCAGCTCTATCCAGCAGATTAGACATTAATTCCCGGACAATCCTACAGGATTGGCAATCTTACTGACATCAGTTGTCAAAGTGGGAAATTGCTCCCCAAGGGTGAATAAATTGAACGCTTAGTTCAACAGAACAGGAAAGAACAAATTTCTAAGAACATTTCTGAACTTCCTGAGTGGAGCACAGCCAATTACTTACTTCTGAAATACAGGTTGCTGTATTAATACATTTAAATAATCATTAAATTGTTGCAGTTTTGTTCTTGCCCATGTCCAGAGAATGGGCAAGTTCTTTTTTGTCATTTGAAAGTCTCAAGACACAACAGGAGAGCACATGGACTGAAAGCGAAAAGATTAGAATTTCACACAGTTAGAAATAAGTGACACGAGCTTATATTTTACAATGTTGAAAGACAACAACCAAAACCATCATAGGCTCTGGAGTTCCTCAATGCAGGGATCATAGGACATTTTTCCTTGCTCTTTTGTAGGACAGGCTTACCAGACCAATTCCTGAGAAAGCAAGGCTGACGTATCGAGACAAGCCAGATCGATTAGTACAATATTCACTGGAATTTAGAAGAATGGGGCGAAATCTTATAGAAACATGTAAAATTACACAATACAATACAGCGCAGGAACAGGCCCCTTGGCCCACCAAGCCTGTGCCGATTCCTAATCCTTACTTAGACCCACTATATATTCCTTTACAGGATGAGGGCATCACTGGCCAGGGAGCATTTACTGCCCATCCCTAATTGCCCAGAGGGCAGTTAAGAGTCAACCACATTGCTGTGCGTCTGGAATCATATGCAGGCCAGACCAGGTAAGGATGGCAGTTTCCTTCCTTGAAGGATATTAGTGAACCAGAGGGATTTTCCTGACAATCAACGATGGATTCATGGTCATCAGTAGACTCTTAGGTCCAGATATATTTATTGAATTCAAATTCCACCATCTGCTATGGTAGGATTTGAACCCAGGTCCCCAGAGTCTCAGGTTAACAGTCCAGCAATAATACCAGTAGGCCATCAGCTCTGCCTTATTGCCCATGTGCGGTTTCTATCCTTCTGCTCGCTTCCCGTTCATCTGTCTATCAAGCTATGCCTTATATGTTGCTAACGTGCCTGCTTCCACCACCTCCACTGGCAGTGCATTCCAGGGACCCACCACCCTCTGGGTGAAAAATTGTCCCTGCACTTCACCCCTAAACTATCCCTCTCTCACCTTGAACCTGTGCCCTCTTGTAGTTGACCTTTCCACCCTGGGAAGAAGCTTCCGACCATCTACCCTATCTATGCCTCACATAATTTTGTAGACTTCTATCAGGTCGGTCCTCAGCCTCCATCTTTCCAGTGAAAACAATCCAAGTTTATCCATCTTCTTCTAACAGGATTGGATGTATAAACACAGCGAAGTTGTTCCTGAACACGGGGGAGTCCAGAACCAAGGCTCACAGTCTAAGGATACGAGGTATGGCAATTAAGACTGAAATGATGAGAAATGTCTTCATCCAGAGAGTGGAGAGCCTGTGGAGTTCTTTGCCACAGAGAGCGGTTGAGGCCAAAACATTGAATGTTTTCAAAAGGAATTATACATAGTTCTTAGGGCTAAAGGGATCAAAGGATATGGAGAGAAAATGAGAACTTGGCTCTTACTTAAATGATCAACCCTGAACAAATTGAATGGTGGAACAGGCTTGAAGGGCCAAATGACCAACTCTTACTCCTAGCACAGCCAGGATTTGTTGTCTAACCTGACTACCCCGAACAAGTAGCTTACTGAGCCATTTCATATCGTGTTTAAAGCTCTGGAGTCACATCAATTCCCTACAGTGCAGAATGATGCCATTCAGCCCATTGGGTCTACACTGACCCTCCAAAGACCATCACAGCCATTCCTACCTCACCCTTATAACTCTGCATGGGTATTTTAACCATAGCTGACATACCAAGCCTGCACACTGCAGGGCAATTTAACATGGCCAATCCACCTAACCTGCACATCT